CCCCACTCACTGAGCTAGGGGCACCGAGCCAAATTTTTAAAAATATTAAATACATTATTGAAGGCACTGAAATCAGGCAGACACTGCAACCCGTGAGATTTGGGAATTTGTGGTCTTTTGCCTGAGGCCCTCCCAGTCCAGACAGCTTAGATAGCCTCACCCTCACCGTACTTTCCCTTCTTAGCTTGAGGTATCAGAAGTTCAGGGCTGGCAGGACAGCCAAAAATTTAGAGGAAAGACCTATGAGAGAAAGGCAGGAGGAATAAAGCCCAATTCATGCATATAAAATCCACTCTTTCATTGCTGAACTACAAAAATGTATAAGGGACACTCCAGGGAACCCAGCAATAAATCAGTGGGGTTGAGCAAGATTTCAGATGCCCAACATAAGATGAGAGTTTAGAGGGTAAGCCAAGCTATCTGCTAGAACAAAAATCACATTTCAGAAGACTACAACAAAATCCAGAGTCTCTTCAATGTATTAGTCATACTGTCCAGTATCCAAGAGTATAAATTGCTAGTTATTGGAAGAAAAAGGAAAATGTGACTCATATTCAACAAAAATGCTATCAACAGAAACCACCTCCAAGAAGACCTAGATACAGGATGTAATTAGCAGGCAAGGACTTAAAAGCAGTATAAATATACTTAAGGACTTAAGGACAATAGATACATAATAAATAAAAGGAGCATTTAACAGAGAAAAGAACCAAATGGAACCCTAAAGCTAAAAAAGTACAATTGAAACAAAATGTTCACTAGCCTGAATTAACACAGATTGGAGGTAGCAGAATATTTACCCAATCTGAAAAGCAAAGAGAGGCTCAGCGCCCATAGCACAGTGGTTACAGCGCAGGTCATATGCACCAAGGTTGGCAGGTTCGAACCTGGCCTGAGCCAGTTAAACAACAATGACAACTGCAACCAAAAATAGCTGGGCGTTGTAGCGGGTGCCTGTAGTCCCAGCTACTTGGGAGGCTGAGGCAAGAGACTCGCTTAAGCCCAAGAGTTTGAAGTTGCTCTGAGCTATGACACCACCGCACTCTACCAAGAGCGACACACTAAGACTCTGTCTCACAAAAAAAAAAAAAGAAAAAAGAAAAAGAAAAGAGAAAAAATATTGAGGAAAAATAAGCAGAGCACAGGTGATCTGTGGGTTGGTAATCAAATATATATATAATTTCAGTCCCAGAAGAAAAGGAAACACGGAATCAAAAAAATTTTTTGAATGATGGATGAAAATGTCCCAAGTTTAGTAAAAGATATCAACCTACAGATCCAAAAAGCTCAACAAACTGTAAGCAAGAAAACCATCTCTAGGCATAGTATAGTCAAACTGCTGAAATAGGAAGAAAAAATGTGAAATGAAGTCTGAGAAAAACAACTCATTACATACAGGATAAAAAGAAAAAAAAACCACCATTAAGAAAATGAAAAGTTGCCTGTGGCTCAGTAAGTAGGGTATGGGCCCCATATAACAAGGGTGGCAGGTTCGAACCTGGCCCCGGCCAAACTGGAACAAAAAAAAGCCAGGCATGGGGCAGTGCCTATGGGTCAGTGAATAGGGTGCCAGCCCCATAAACCAAGGGTGGTGGGTTTGAACCTGGCCCTGACCAAACTGCAACAAAAAAAATAGCCAGGCATTGTGGCAGGTGCCTGTAGTCCCAGCTACTCAGGAGGCTGAGGCAAGAGAATTGCCTAAGCCCAAGGGCTAGAGGTTGCTGTGAGCTGTGATGTCACAGCACTCTACCAAGGGCCACAAAGTAAGACTCTGTCTCTAAAAAAAAAAATGAAAAGGCAAGCAAGACTGGGAGGGAATACTTACAAAACGTGCATCTGACTTGTATCTACATTCAAAAAACAAAACAAAAAACTTGATAATAAAAAGAAATCACTCACTTTTCAAAAAATAAGCAAAAAAACTGAACAAATACTTCACAAAGGAAAATTTACAATGGTCAGTCAGTACAAAAAAAGTGTTCAATGTGTGTCATCAAGGAAATATGAGTTAATACTACAGTGAGATGTCACTTCACACATTCTCGAATGGCTAAAATTAAAAAGACTGACACTAAATAAATAGCTAAAAATACTGACACTACTGTAGAGCAACCAGAACCCTCACACATTGCTGGAGGAAATACAAAATGGTACAACTCCTTTGGAAAAGGTTTGGCAGTAACCATACACTGAGCCACTATAGTCCTGGATATTTATCCAAGAGAAATAGAAACAAAAAGGCTTATAAACAAATGCCATAGCCACCTTTATTCACAACAGCCAAAACTGAAACAACCCAACTTCACAAACAGAACAACAAATAGACCAATTGTGATATACTCATACAATGGAATACTGCTCAGAGAACTGAGTCAACTACTGATCCAGGCACAACATGTATGAATCTCACAGACAGTGTGGTGAGTGAACGAAGCTGGACACACAGAAGTACATAATTCATGATTCTGTTTATGTGAAGTTTAAGGTAACACAAAACGAGACAAAATCAGAACCGAGATCAGTAATTAAAAAAATATGATGAAGCTGGGTGTTGCAGTTCATGTCTGTAATCTTAACACTCTGGAAGCCAAGGTAGTGGATTGTCTAAGCTCAGGAGTTCGAGACCAGCCTAAGCAAGAGCCAGACCTCATCTTTACTAAAAACAGAAAAATTAACCAGGCACTGTGATGGGGACCTGTAGTCCTAGCTCCTGGAGAGGCTGAGGCAAGAGGATCCTTGAGCCCAAAAGTTAGAAGTTTCTGTGACCTATGATGCCACAGCACTCTACTCAGGGTGACAGACTGAGACTCTGTCTCTTAAAAAAAAAAAAAAGGATGATGGGTTAAACATGAGTTTAGACTTGATACAAAAAGGAAATAGAGGCTTCTTTCAAGTTTTCAAGCAGAAAACTGAGTAGTACTTACAACGTGAGATTTCATACTTCCTAGAGATTAAATTTTACTTTTATGAAACATTTTCAAATAAACCTCCTAGACAGCAACAAATGTGTCTAACTTGATTTGTTTTAGAGAGACCTCAACACAATTGAAACATTTATAAAAGTTTTCAGAGCAATTAAGATAGAGGCAGAAATGTTGCCTGATGACAACCCAACTTCTTTAAAAGTTCTAATTTCAAGTAAAAGAGCAAGAGAACAGATATGTCACAGAAGGACATAAAAGGTTTACATCGTAAAAACAATTTCAATGTAAATAACACAGATTAAAATATAGGATTAATAATATTAAGGATATTATATAGCCAATAAAATGTCAGCCCTATGAGAACAGTGATATATCACTTAACAAGTGGGATACATTCTGAGAAATGCATTGTTGGGAGATTTCATCATTGAATGAACATCACAGAGTACACTTACACAAACCCAGATGGTATATAGCCTATGATACACCAAGATAATAAGGTACAACTTACTGCTCCTCATCTATAAATCAATACAGCCTATTACTCTACTGAATACTGTGGGCAACAATGGTAAGTATCTGTGCATATAACTATATCATTTGGGGGCTTTTTTTTGAGAGGGTCTCACTCTGTTACCCTGGGTAGAGTACCATGGCATCATAGGTCACAGCAACCTCAAACTCTTGGGCTCAAGTGATCCTCTTGCCTCAGCCTCCCAAGTAGCTGAGACAACAAGCATAGCATCCACCATGATGCCAACCTAGTTTTTCTATTTCTAGTAGAGACAGGGTCTCAATTTTGCTCCGGCTGGTCTCAAACTCCTGAGCTTTAACGATATACCTGCATTGGCCTCCCAGAGTGCGGGGCTTACAGGCATGAGTTTCCAGGCCTGGTCTATGCATCTAACTATCTAAATACAGAAAAGGGACAGTAAAAATATGGCACAAAAGATTAAAAGTAGGGTGTGGTACTATGTGCCCTTACTTGGGAGGCCGAAGCAAGAAAATCACATAAGCCCAGGAGTTCTAGGTTACAGTGAGCTAGACTTGCGCCACTGACCTTGTGTCAAGAAAACAAACAAAAAAAATCCAACGGAAAAGTACACCTCAGCCTGAACAACACAGGGAGACACCATCTCTACAAAAGAATAATTGGAAACTTAACTGACGTACTAGCTCATGCCTGCAGTCATAGCTACATGGGCAGCTGAGACAGGAGGATCACTTGAGCCTAGGAGTTTAAGGTTGCAATGGGCGATGTTTGAGCCACTGCACTCCAGCATGGGTAACAGAGCAAGACCCTGTCTCTCTCTTTTAAAAAAAGGTATACCTATATAGAGCATTTATCATAGATAGAGGTTGCCTGGAAGTTACTCTGCATGATTCAGCAAGTGAGTGGTGAGTGAATGTGAAGGCCTAGGATATTACTATGCACTACTGTAAACTTCCAAAAACACTATACACTTACACTGCACTAAATTTATTAAGAGTATTAAGAGCTGAGTATTCCAAATTCGAGGTTTTATACTTTGATATTTATTTTTATTCTGGCTACAGTAACTTCCCTATGCTAAATTTTCTTCTAAGATCAAACAGTTACTATATGGGGGGAAGTTCCTAGTAATAAAAGAAATTTCAGCATGCATTACCTTGTCCTGAAGGATTTGCTGCCATCTTCCTATTCTGTTTCAATTATGTCCGTTGACAACCAATCAGCACTTTACAATCACCTGTAAAAAATTCGTGTGTACACATAAAATGCACCATATTTTAATCACTGACTAAAAGTTGTCAGAACAGTTAGCTGAAATGTTTGCAGTTTCTTAATCTCTCTGAAACATAAGTTTGAAAAGCACACAGACTTAAATCACAAATCTCAACTCTGCAAACGCCTCAAACATTTTATCAGTGTGTTTATTCTTGCAAATGCTAACACTAACATTTAATGTTACTCCATCTTTAATAAATATCACCAGGTTGTACTTCTAAATACTACCAAAAATATTAACGAATTGATATATGATCAATATGAGCATGTTACGAAGAAAAATCACTCAAGTACGGTGCCTCTCCACTCATTTAAAAAACATACCCGGAACTACTGTGTACACTGAAAGCTAAAAAGGAAAAGCGACCACTCTTAAAAAAAAAAGTTTACTTAATAAACGTGCTCCTTAAAAGGCGTGCACAGTGCCCAGGAGGCAGAGACAAGGGACTATTTGAGGAATGAGGAATGGCTTTTAGGAGTCCGGGAAAGGTACAAGAACTAGAAAAAGGAGGCTTTTAAATAAATGAGTCGTTAGGTGTCGCCAGCGGCTTAAGCGCTGGGCTAGCAAAACCAGGTTAGGGCAGAAGGAACACAGGGCCATCTTGTGAAAGGGAACAGCAAGCGCGGATGTGACAGGGCTTGGCGTGCAGTCCTTGACGGTCCCTGCCCGCGAGCGCGTGGAGGATAGGAGAGGCCGGTGCTACGATCTATTCTAGAAGGAAGAAAGAAAGGGGGAGCAAGAAGTGTTTGGTGGTAAGGTCTGCAGGGAGGCCGCTGCCTTGTGGCAATAAAGACGGCAGCTGCAGGGCAGCGGAAGCCACAGATTTGCATTCCCCAGCGCCGCTAGGCTGCCCTACTTACCTGGGAGCCGAAGGCGCTGGGGACTGCAGAGCCTCCACGCGGCGGCTCGCAAGGGGGGCGCGACCACTCAGGGACAGGCGAAAGGAGAGCAACGCGCGGCACTACAACCTTCCCGCCCCCCTCCGCGCTTCCGCCTCCTGATTGGCATACGCTCGAGGGAACGGAAGCCCCACCTCTCCGGGCCCCAGCAGCCACTGCCCACAGTGATTCGCACTTTAACGGGCGCCCTAGTGGAACGTCATTTCCTTTCTGAAGAGTGACAGCCGAAAAGTCTCACGGGAGTTGCAGGCCGTAGCGTTCGGGGCGGGGCCTGGGTGTGGGACGGAACTTGGGGCGAGACTCGAGGCGTGGTTGCTATTCAGGGGCGGGGCGGAGCGCCTCTGGGTCCCTAGCACCGAGATTGGCTTTTGCGTTTGGGCCACTGGCTGGTGTTTCGAGCGTGTGAACTCAGTTCTGTGGGAACTCAGAGTCTTCAGAGGCTGGGCTCGCTTTTATGCTTTAACAACAGGATCAGAGCGCACGTTCACACACACACCCAAATCCAAGGGTATTTTTTCATCTACAGTTTACATAATTATACACGAGGAAAGAATAAAACATGTAGAGGTTTTTTCTGCTGTGCAATAATCTGCATTTTTAAAGTGGCTGTGCCACGTCTCTAAACATCAATACGCTAAAAGTGGAATCACCTGATGCCTGATCCGAGCACAATAGATTACACATATACATTAAAACGTAACCTTACATTGGCTTGGCACCTGTGGCTCAAGTGGCTAAGGCACCAGCCACATACACCTAAGGTGGAGGGTTCGAATCCAGCCCGGCCAGCCAAACAACAATGATGGCTGCAACTAAAAAATAGCCGGCGCTGTGACAGGCGCCTGTGGTCCTAGCTACTTGGGAGCCTGAGGCAGGAGACTCACTTGAGACCCAGGTTGCTGTGAGCTGTGATGCCATAGCACCCTACCCCGGGCAACAGCTTGAGGCCCTGTCTCAAAAAAAAAGGTAACCTTACATTGATGTGTGTTCAAATTGCAGTTTCTTAATCTCTTCAGAAAGATGCATTTGAAAAGCACACAGACTTAAATTACAAGCTTGAGCTCTGCAAGAGCATCAAGCATTTAATTAAATAGAATGAATAATGAATTTGAACATATGTTTTTAATCGTTGTTTGCTCAAGAGTAAATATTTATGGCTC